AACCCACCACCTTAGGTGTATATGGCTGGCGCCTTAGCCCCTCGAGCCACAGGCGCCGAGCCCTTAGGCTGGTCTTGAACTTGTGAGCTCAAGCAATCCACTCACCTTGGCCTTCCAGTGTGGTAAGATTACAGGCGTGAGCCATTGTGCTTGGCCTCTGCAATAATCTTTCACTCTATGGAAAACATAAATGTCTAGAGATGACGAAATCATCAGCTATTACCTACCCTCCAAAGATGACCACCATCACATTAGTGCTTATAGTCCTTTAACTTTCTTTTTCTTTTTCTTTCTTTTTTTTTTTTTTGTTAAGAGAGTCTCACCCTGTCACCCTCGGTAGAGTGCTGTGGCATCACAGCTTACAGCAACCTCCAGCTCTTGGCCTTAGTTGATTCTCTTGCCTCAGCCTCCCAAGTAGCTGGGACTACAGGCACCCACCCCAATGCCTGGCTATTTTTTGGTTGTTGTTGCAGTTTGGCTGGGGCCAGGTTTGAACCTACCACCCTTAGTATATGGGGCCAGAGCCCTACTCACTGAGCCCCAGGCACTGCCCTTTTTTTTTTTTTTGAGTCAGAGTTTCACTATGTTGCCCTCAGTAGAGTGCCATGACATCATAGCTCACAGCAACCTCCAACTGTTGGGCTTAAGTGATTCTCTTGCCATAGTCTCCCAGGTAGCTGGGACTACAGGCGCCTGCCACAATGCCCAGCTATTTTTTTGTTATTGTTGCAGTTGTCATTGTTATTTAGCTGGCCTGAGCCAGATTCAAACCTGCCAGCCCTGGTGTATGTGGCCGGTGCCCTATCCACTAAGCTACGGGTGCCCCCCAACTTTATTTTTCAATAGAATGCATAATATAGTCTGAACATATATGTATGCTATTAAATATTCTTTTACAACAAATGATTGTATAATATCCCATTACAGTAAAATGCTTTGAAAATCCAGTTAATAAGCTGGGTGAAGTGAGTGAATCCTCTATGGTTACAGCTGCTCAAGAGGCCAAGGTGGGAGGATTATGTTAGCCCAGGAATTTAAGGCCAATCTGGGCAACGTAGCAAGACTATGTCTTTAAAAAGAAAAATCCAATTATTGGACTTGTTTCCAATTTTTTACTATTGAAAACAATGCATGGACAAGCATCGTTATCATTATTTTCTTTGGCTAAATTGCAAAAGGTGGAATTTCTGCATAAAAGATATACATAAATCTAAAGTCTTAGATATACCTTGTCATATTTCTCCACCCACGTTGAGAATATTTCCTTGAATTCTTTATTCTGTTTTTTGGTGTTTTTATTTGATAATTAAGATATCGTTACTTCGCATTTCTTCAGTTATTAGTGGGTTTGAATGTCTTGTATGTTGGCCATGCATATTTTATAGGTTCCTATTGATGTACTTTCTCTTTTGTTGTTTTTTCAAAAGAAACTCTTATGGCTCAGCGCTTGTAGCTCAATGGTTAGGGCACTGGCCACATACACCAGGGCTGGCTTGTTCAAACCCAGCCTGAGCCCGCTAAACAACAATGACAACTGCAACAAAAAAATAGCCAGGTGTTGTGGTGGGCATCTGTAGTCCTAGCTACTTGGGAGGCTGAGGCAAGAGAATTGCTTAAGCCTAAGAGTTTGAGATTGCTGTGAGCTATGATGCCATAGCACTCTACTGAGAGAGACATAGTGAGACTCTGTTTCAAAAGAAAAAAAAACTCTATTAACTATATTTCTCTCCTTCCTTTCTTACCCATTCTCCCTCTCAAATATTAACAAATTCCTTTCTAAAGTAAAATATAATAGCCAAATTACCCAACATTAATTTTTTAAAAAGAAACATTTTTTTTTTTTTTT